CCTATCTTGTATCTCCTCCCTGTTTTTCATGAAAATCCAACGATCCATCGTTTTTGATTTCTGCCTTTAGAGATATCCTTCTCACAATGTATCATTTTCAGCCAATCCAATCAATTTTGAGATTATACTATTTGGGAAGTTATTTCTAAGTCCAATTGCTTTTCTGAAAGAATTTCTCTGAAGGATTTCCCATTATTTAATGCACATTTTACATTAATTCCATCAGGTCAAATTATTATAGGCATTTGACATACCAAAAAAGGTTATACTTTTATCAGGTTATTTTGTTTAGTTTTCTTATTTTTTTTTCAATTAGAACTTATGTTCCAATTAGGATAAGAATCCGGCCTAATCTAAATCTATTCCCATTAATACTACTTATTTGAGCCGATCCGCAAAGGTCCATTAAATAATTTAACAATGCGACTTTAGTCCATTATTGGTCTCAGGTCCCATATTGTACCAATCTCTAGTGCGTTCTTAATTAGTGGTATGATTCTCATATCTGTCCTTAAATCGTTAATCTTACACATTCTTTCCAGATCAACAGTTGGCTATCAATTTTCCAATTTCTCCACCCCCTCTATACTATCCTATTATGAATAACACAAATTAATGGACTTTGGATACTAAAAAACAAATTTCCGTGCTTCACCCTATTAATTATCAAATAATGGAGAACTTAAGAAGCAAGATAAAAAAACTAAACAATAAAACATAAATGTTGGTTTTATTGCAGCCATATTGGGTTTGACTGTATAATAAGTTTATTGTTTAAATAAATTCAAAAGCAACAAGACAGATAAATAATAATATTTTATAATGGGGAGAGATCATATTAAGTGGATTAAAAAGGAATTAATGAATGCGAAAATAGAGAACATATAAAATAATGAATACTTATATTAAAAGCTTATTATATGATTTTCAATGAAAATGAGGCAATAGCAAAATCGACATTTAGGGTTAATGATGCCAGCATATTCTATATAAATAAATTCTATAGAAAAGGTTTGGAATTAATTAAAAGAGAGACTAAGAGAATTGAATTGTTAATTTAGTTCTACGATTTGTGAAGAGAGATATAAATTTTAATGAATTATCTGAGAAATAAATTGAGTAAACTATTCTATTAATAACACCATATTTGAGGAAGAGTTTCTTGAAATAGATATATTGAATATTTTGTGTTTAAAATGTGTAAGTATTTTAAATAAACTTATCAAATAATGGAAAATCTAATAAATTATTTAAATAAAATACAGCTTTCATTAAACGTTAGTAATACAAATAAAAATATTAATGTTATCTGAATTAGATAAGAAAATTTGTTTAGACATAAATTAGAAATTTTGACAATAGATTTAAAGTAATCATCTGCTGTGGAGGATAAAACCTTTCTATTAAGTGCAAGTGTCTAATCGAGAAGATAAATATGGCTTTGGTTGAAGAGACTAAATCAATGATTAAACAAGCGAAAAGTGAACAATTGAGTTATAAACTCAAAGAATATTAAAGATAAATAGAGAATTAGAGGGAAATTCAATCCTAAATAAAGAATTGAAATTGTCAATTAGCAATACTTAAAGAAAAGTTTAATGTAATATAGATTAGAAATAACTTAAATGGAAATTCAGTTAGAATAATCAGAAATCAAAAATATAAGTCTTTTCTTTTGAAGAAGATGTGTGACTTTTATCAAAGAATTACAAAGGATCATTAAGTTTTGAATTACCTAAGTAATTGGATAAATCTATAGATGACAATTCTTATGTTTATTCATTACAATAGTAATTGGTAATTGTAATTCATAATTAAATGTCCAATTCTTATCTAAGGTTAGTGAAACTTAGAAATTACTAAGGTGGATGAGGAACATTCAGAAATTAAAAAAAAACTATAATTATATTCTAAGAAGGAGGAAAACCCATAAGTAATTATTCACTTATACATCAAATTAGTAAACACCAAGTTTGAATATCTAATGTAATAAACATGGAAAAGAAATTATCATGTTTAATTTCAACCCCAGAAAAATAAATTGAGAAGATTATCTTGTGTAGAATGTATCTTATCAAATGATCCAATTAAATATACCCCTATAAATGATGCTAGTTATATATGGAATGGGTATTTGGGATAAAAAGGATTAAGTTAAGTAATTTTAGAATGAAAGATGTTTAAAAATCAATATAAATCATTCAAAATCTTGAAGAAATTAAATAAAAATACAAATTCTTCAATTTCAGAAATAATCAATAAGGTAATACTTAATATTCTATGTTCTCTGAAAATCATATTAACGAGTTTAATGAAAACATGATATATTAAATGACTAAATTAAAGAATTGGCGGAAATATTAAGTTAGACTGATACATTTCAAGCTTTAGTTGCAAAGTAATTCAATATACAGACAGAAGATCTAAATTAACTTGAAATGATTTAAGGTAATTTAGGAAAACTATTGTAAAATGATTTATTAGCTACTCATAAGATTAATACGATAAAGGAATAAAGTTTTAATGAAATTCCGCAAGAAGAGTATCATCTTTAAAATCAACAATCAATTAAATAACTTAATTTATAAGTGTAACATCATAAGATTTATTAGGATATCATAAAAGAAGCTTAATATTAATATGAATAAATCAAGTTAATCAATAATTTATCAACTGAATTTATAGATGTTTAATTATAGCAAGTACAAGTTTATTAATCTTTATAATTTTAATCAATTTGTATCATAATTAGATTAAGATTGTTCTCAAATTATAAAACTAACTTAGTTTGATAAAATTTAAGCTGAACTAAATTAAATATACAAGGTAAAGTATCCTTATTTGATCAAATTAATTAAAATGAAAAATATTATTTAGATGAATCAATTATTATTTAGATGAATCAATAAAGGATAATTGATTTTAAGAAACATGATGAAGAATAAATTATAATTATTGCAGATCTAAATAATGAAAAAGAACAATTGTTAATTAAACTAAAAGAATATGAGCAATAAAGTAATATAAACCATATTCGATTACTTAATGAAAAATAATTTGAACTTAATCTTAAATACAAGGAAGGAAACTTGGAAAGATCCTAAAAATCAATTTAAAGAATGAAGAAATTGTTTAATAGTTATAACCTACTTTGGTATAAGTAGAATTTTTATTAGAAGAAGGTTTAATTACTCTCAAAATAGCTGACATTCTCAACAACTTGTAAACATAGTAGTTGCTCAATCAGTAGAATTACTTACTCTAAGCAATATCCTTAAAAACAATTCCAATCATAATATGAGTTATTTCAATAATTTAAAAAAAAAATTAGATCACTTCATTCTTAGGAATCATTTAATCACACATACGAGAATAACAATCAGAGGGTATGCGTTATGATAATAATAGATCAATGTAGAACTTATAATATTCATTTCGGGGGTGATTGTTACAATCATGATTAATAAGATAAAAAAGGTAAGAAAATAGAATTTTCCTTTTCAACAAATGATATCATAATAATAGAAGTGGATATTGAAAGTAGTATGTGAAATGGACAAATGAATCCACAAATCAATCCTTTGCATCAACTTCAATCTAGTATTTTTAGACTCTCACTATTGGTGCATACAAAGATTTGTATTCATGTGTACATTTATATGGTTAATCCCTCGGGACTCTCTAAAATTACAATCTTCTCTATGGGTTTATTCTAATTATATCTTCTAGCCCTTTATAATTTTATAAAGATTTCGGTTCAATAACAGATATGCCTTAAAATATAACTAACTAACAACTCAGAATATAAAAAATTAATATTTCAATATAATTAATGATTTCTTTTCTTAGATATAAACAATATCTCAAGAGTAATTCATTATATAATTTTTTTCTGTGACTTAAGAAATATCTGTTGAATCAATAAATGCCACTATTTACTTATTTGGATGGATCTTCTGTGAAAGCAGTCTTTAAAGCACCTATCCTGTTTTCGATCATTTGCAATTGCAAATTTTCCAAATCTTTACGATATTCTGATAAAAGAAATCAAGCTTTGATCCGTAGCCTAATTCAATTAAAATTTCGATCCATTTTCAACTTCAGCTTAAATTTTTCACTCTTAAAACCCAAAAATTTGTCAAATTCTAATTTACAAAGACATCCAGAAATAGTTTTTAAAGTTGAAATAATATAATGCTTTTACAGATTTATGATTACTTGCGTTTCTTCATAAGATAATTCAATTTAATTTTAAATATATTTATATTAAACTTCATCTATTTCTTGAAATTTATATAATCCTTTAAATGAAGCATTGAATTGTGATTTAATGCTTTTTTGAATAAATCCCATTTAAAATACACAATTGATATTAAAGGGTTTACAATGGTTTAGCCAGAATAAATGATTATCGGGAGCAAAATTGCAATGAAGTGTTGTAATATGAAGATTATGAGGGATGTAGCTAATAATATGATATTATTGTTTACTTAGAATATTATTATTATAGTATGTATTTCATGGAATGGATAAGATCAAATCGCTAAATATGAATAAATAAATGGATCATTCGCATAAACTCAAACCAACAGAAATAAAATTTGAAATCTTCTTAAGTTGCAATCGTCTGGAACCAACTATAATATTAAATTGTTGTACTCAAATAGAAAAGGTTCATATTAGACATATGATGAATATCCTTAAATCTTGTACAGATTTTACATTTATGCAAATTCATTGAAACTCTTTAGCGGATTAATACAAGGTTACTTTAACAGGATCCTTTTCAGTCTGATTTATTCATCATTCATTACAATAAAATTAAAAATTATAAAATTGTATTGTTTTTATGAACTAATAATTCACTGTTCTCCTTGTTCTACTTTAAAGATTGCATCCTAAAACTCCTATTCAGAAACATTAGGTATTTATTCCCATTTGGATAGAGTTGCCCCACTATTAACTCTATATGGGCTGAATTTAATAGGTAAGTTATTAAATAATTTCGGTATAACATGAACAACGGCTAGCTTTTTCAATACAATGGCCACTATAACAATTGCAGCTCCTCCTACAATAGTACCAATTGCAATAGAGACTGCTTGTTTTGCAGCTTTTGAGTTTTAAACACAAGCTTGATTTTCCTCTAAACTATACCCAGATGAGCAAGTTTTACAAGTTTCGGATGAGGTGCAGGTTTAACAATGCTCAACTTCACAAGCTATGATAATTTATAATAAATTACAATAGCATATTTTATCCTCAATACTATATTATTAGCCTTCGTTAAAGTTACTTAAATTACCTTCATCTTTGCCTTTTCCACTATCATCGCAGACTGAACATTAGACAGAATTATCACTTTAACACTATAGACATTTGGATGGACAAGCAGAACATATAGAATTTTATAAGCAAAATCCAGATTAGCATTGTGAACATTAAGAAGCAGTATAAACTTAACAATAGGATGGACAAGTAACACATTATTTATTTTCTAATCTGTATCTTTAAGCACAGTAAGTACATTCATCTTTTTTTAAGCAAGTAGCACAATTTGAAGAACAACTAACACATTTGTCGGCTTCAAGATAATTATTATTATTGCACTTTTGACAAGAAGTCTCACTTGTGCATTCTTTACAGGAATGATTGCATTGAGTACATTGTTTTTATTGCAAATAATACCAGTTTTGCATTGAAAAACACTCAATACTTGAACATGACTCGCAATTATCTTTGCATTTAACACAATTAATTTGATCTAAGTAATATTATGGTTGACATTCAAGGCAAGATGTAGCATCACAGGATACGCAATTGCTATTACACTACAAACAATCTTTCTCTTTGCAATAATAACCAGTTTTGCAATACGAACACTCTTGCACTGTGCAACTCAAACAATTTGAATTAAAATCCACACACTATTTAGAGGTGGGTCCAAATAATACATTCTATCACATCATTGACATTCCTGTTGTGTACATATTGTACATCCGGTTTAACATAGGACACAAATATTTTAATAAACTTAATATGGACCTGCACATTGATTGCATGTAGTTGATGTACATGATAAACAATTGGTTTAACATTTTTCACATAAATGCCCATTATTGTAGTATCCAGTTTGACAATTTGTACATTTTTCGGAAGTACATGATAAATAAATATCGAGGCATGGTGAACATTCAAATTCTACTAATTAAAGAAAAATCCGGGTTTGCAGGATTCACAACGTGCTTCTGAGTCACATTTCTAACAATTTTGCATACATTCTAGGCAATTTTATCCATTTTATATAATATCCAGTTTAGCATTAATTGCATTAAGATGAAGTGCATTATAAACAGAAATCTTAACATTTCACACAGTTTTAACCTTCTAGATAATAACTTCCTTTGCATTCAAAACAATTTATGTTTGAACATGACTTACAATTAGCGTTACAGGCAGTAAAAGATTGGCCATCTGCATAATAACCATCATCACATTTCGCACATCCCCTGTTATAACACTCTAAGCAATTATTATCGCATGAATTACAAGTATAATCACTTTTATAATAAGTATGTCCATCCTAAATGCAAATTGTACATTTAGTAGCAGATTCACATTAAGCACATTTTGAATTGCATTTTATATAATTTGTACCATCGAAATAAAAACCATCTACGCATGATGTACATTAGGTGTTACTTGTACATTTTAAACAAGGTGAATTGCATGCTGCACAATTCTTATCATTAGTTAAAAACGAGAATTAGGTACAAGATGTGCATGTTGTTGAATTTTGACAGATTTCACATTTTGAATTGCAATTATAACAGTTATAACAATCAATAATATAGTATTTTGATGATTAGGAATTAGTCTATTTTAATTAAATGGATATTCCATGTAAATATTGAATATCTTTACTATTCATACAAATATACTTAAAGTTTATCATCTATATTGTATCTGTAGGATCGATATATTAATTACTCAGGCAATTTGTAGATGAAGCATAGCAACTTACACATTCCAGATCACATTCTTTACATTTATTTGAAGATACTATTTCATCCCAATCATAATAATAATGAGTTTCACAAGTACATGTTGTACATTCAGTACATTACTCAGGACTTATAAGAAGATATCCATAATCGCAAGCTAGACGCTCTCCAGATGATATTTAACAATTACTACAATGATTTGTTGGGCATTTTGAACATAAATTATTGATGGCAAGGTAGTATCCACTAATACAAGAAGTGCAGGAATCTTCTGTTGATTTACAAGTCTTGCAAGGAGCCTTGCATTATAGGCAATCAGTTGTTCCTTAATAATATCCTTCATTGCATTCATAACATTAGATATAAGATGATTATTTTACACATGAACCTGTGCTTTGAACCGGACATTATATGCATTCATTACCATCTAAAAAATATCCTTTAACACACTCTGTACATATATTATAAAAAAACGCATGATAAACAAGGCATTTCACAATTTAAACATTATTTTTTATATAAATAATATCCTACAATACAACTTTTGCAATCATTAGGACTTTCTGAATTGCATTTAAGGCACAGAGATGTGCATCGATAACATGTTGCATCTAAATTCAAGAAATTGCTTGTTCTGCAACTTGTAAATTTCATTAGTTATAAACATTTTATTATATGTTTAAGGTAATTGCTATCCAAATGCTTCTTATAAACAAGTATTGTTTACTCAACAATAGTCTTACTTGTCTAAAGGTAATGTAAAAGTTTGCTAACAACTCATATCGATTATGTTGTTATACTGGCATAGAGAATATAATTTATAATAGTATTTTGGTAATTTTAAAAATTTCATAATTAAAAATATTTATTTTGATTATTTTACAAGTATGCGATAGGATTAATTACTAATTTATTTATATGATTATGAATTAGGCTAGTAACAAGGAAACTTGCATTGGAAAACGATATTACTCAATTAAAATTAGGAGGATGTCTTTAATATTGTTGGAACATAATTATCGATTTTGCATACTAAAATACCATCTGGTTTGAATTCATAATGTTCTCCTTATGTTGGTGCAATTAAATTTCTAATCCCGTATTCAAAAAGTAATATGCACAGATCACTCTGAAGAATAAAATAATTATTAGTATGTAAAATTATTAATAAACTCTAGATATTATTATTCTAAAATCTTAACTATAAATCTTTAATAATTTATTAGATAAATATCTTTAATGAGACTATTGCTGTTGTTTTTCTTATAACACTCAGATTTTGCTCCCTTGCGAGCTGCGGATGTAAATGCAAAATTTTCTTAGATTATCTTTATATTTAAGAGAAACATCCATTTTTAAGGGGAATTACAAAGATGTAGTTTTGTTTATTAATGGAGTACTTCTATCCTCAGCAAGAACCATTGTTTTATATATAACAGGTATTGACAATGGTCCTTTAAGAAACTTAATCTACAAAAACCCTGTTGGTTACGACGTATTAATTTCTATCATAGTGAAATTCTTATAAGCATATTCAATCAATACTGTTAGCTTACATATAGGATCAGGATGAAAGATAGAAAAATATGCAAGTATTCACAATAACAGCTGGGAGGATGGCTGAGAAAATCATTTTTGATGATGGACACTCCTTTATAATCAATTTAAAAATCTTTGACAATATTTATCAAACCAAGATAATAAATATTTTACGATTTGATTAAGTTTGAATCCATTTTTTTCTATATAAGTAAGCTGAACCTGTTGTAAGATTTTCTGATTAATTGGTATTGGGATTGAAATTGTACAAAATACTGTAGATTAATAAATTACTTCCATCAAAATATAAGCCTTCTACGCCTTTTGATAATCACTATATATATTAAAACCACAATAATTTTCTCATCTTATAATACTGGATAATTAAATAAAATTTCTTTGTACCTTATATTTCTATTTAATCATTATCAATAAATAATGTTGTTTAACCACATCAATTTTGAGTATAAAGTATTTAGAATTGACATTTTTATCATTCTATTTTATAGCCCTGCTCGAAGATAATTTAATTCCAATTCTTGAAAGATTAATTTATCAAAATTGTTTCTAACCTCTAAGTTTGATTTTTCATTAATGAAATTTGAGATTTTCAACCCATAGGTTTAATTCCACAGCTTTAGCAACTTATTTTAATGACAAGAATACAAAAGCAATTTCTTGAAAATATAAACTTATTTTACTTGAAATGCATTTTATATTATTTCGAAGAATTACATTGGTTTAATTATTATTTTAGATTTATGTTTAGAATAAAGCTCACTTTTGATTAGTGTAAACTTTGATTGATCATTTATCTATTTGATTTACATATGCTAAAGTAATCTGCTTTATAACCATCACAATACTCTTAATATTTTTGTTGATATGATGCGTGATATTTTCAATTATAAAAGGTCATCCCTTTTTTGAATGAAGAACTCTAAAACCTAACATTCATCAGCAAAAAAATCCTGAAGATTTTTAACGTATAATCAAACAGTGATAAATATATAATTTTTGCAAAAAAAAGATACAAATTTGTTTCAAAGGGAAGAAGCCCCATTATGAAAATTATGAGGATTAGGACATTAATGGAGAGAGGTTACATGGAGGATCATGCTTTAAAAAATTATCCGTTTGCGGATCGCGACGTAAATAAGGAGAGACCGAAGGGGACCTCATATTTAGGAGAATGATTTCCTGTTGGTTTTAAAAGAAGATAAGTCCTATGGATCATTGGAAGCCTGAAAATTAAAATGAAGAAAGTAGGATTGAAGGTTGGCATCAATGGTTACTGGGCAAAACTTTTCAATTATTAGTTCCCCACTTAATAGAGTACCGGATAACAAAATCAGGAAATGAGATTCTTAAATTGGAAATTTTTTTCGAAATTATAAGATTTTATCAGAATGATCAATCAAAATTCAAAATTAAGGTTTGAAAATGTCATAACAACCATATAAGCAAGAATAGTGATACACAAATTTAACTCATTCCTAGTTAATAGTTATTGGATTAGAGACCACAAAAAGACCTTCCATATAATGGAAAATGACATAGGAATTTGGCATCATGTTCTTTTACATAGATATTATATTTAAAACAATTAATATAAAGTTTAAGAACTATTCATTTCTGTAGAAAATTATGAAAAACAATTAATTTAATCAAAAACGTAATATTGAACATTATTATGTTTTAAGATGCTGATTAAATTTTAATTTAGAATAAGGAAATCCTCTTATTACAATTTTTCTAGTTATTTTAGAATCCTCTATTTATGATGGACATAAAATGATGAGAACATAAAATATAAAAGTTTATTTCAAATATATTTTATAAAATTCATTCTTTTTACGGGCAATCAAACTTGAGAGACGAACTTAAAGAAAATTTTTCATTTAATCTTGGACAACTAGGTAATACTACATCATGTTTTATTACATAAATCATAAACAGACAACTTAGACTCATTCTATTAGGACTAAGAAAAAGATAAAATATAATTAGTTCAATTGGGTTGGTCTAATTAAATTAGTGCAGCTAGGGGAAGAAAGATGTTGGTATAAAAAGGAAAGAGAATTGACAAATAGAAATCAAGAGGTTAATCTAAATAGAGGCTAAACATATGGCATACGGCAGAACCGAAGAAGTACTTATAATTTAAGAGCGAATATCAGATGCAGAATCAGTAAGGAGTTAAAAGCTTTTCCGAAAAATGAAAGTGGATCCCCAAGGAGGGATTGTGATTAAATAGAAAAAGTTGTTTTAGAAAAGGAACTAATTGAGATAGGAGGGATTGAAATTATCTTTAATTGGATTAGCTATGCTCGAGAAAAGGAAGGCAAGGATATTGTTTTGCCTCCAGAGAATGTCTTTCCTAAAGGTCTAAGAAGTTTTTGGAAGAGTATGGATGCAGTAACTACCTCAAACTCTTATTAATTTGAATTGGAAATTTCTTGAGAAATCTAAAGTAATAACAGTAGTAAAATACCTTAGAAAGGTCTCTTCGTTAACGGTACTAAGAAAGATTTAATAAGAAAATAAATCTTTTCTGAATTGATTAACGATAGTCTAGAGGAACTTGAAGTAGAAGCCAGGGGTTTACTCTCCTTGATTTAGTTGTCATACATTGGATCAGACATTGAAATTTCTTTANTTAAAATGAAGAAAGTAGGATTGAAGGTTGGCATCAATGGTTACTGGGCAAAACTTTTCAATTATTAGTTCCCCACTTAATAGAGTACCGGATAACAAAATCAGGAAATGAGATTCTTAAATTGGAAATTTTTTTCGAAATTATAAGATTTTATCAGAATGATCAATCAAAATTCAAAATTAAGGTTTGAAAATGTCATAACAACCATATAAGCAAGAATAGTGATACACAAATTTAACTCATTCCTAGTTAATAGTTATTGGATTAGAGACCACAAAAAGACCTTCCATATAATGGAAAATGACATAGGAATTTGGCATCATGTTCTTTTACATAGATATTATATTTAAAACAATTAATATAAAGTTTAAGAACTATTCATTTCTGTAGAAAATTATGAAAAACAATTAATTTAATCAAAAACGTAATATTGAACATTATTATGTTTTAAGATGCTGATTAAATTTTAATTTAGAATAAGGAAATCCTCTTATTACAATTTTTCTAGTTATTTTAGAATCCTCTATTTATGATGGACATAAAATGATGAGAACATAAAATATAAAAGTTTATTTCAAATATATTTTATAAAATTCATTCTTTTTACGGGCAATCAAACTTGAGAGACGAACTTAAAGAAAATTTTTCATTTAATCTTGGACAACTAGGTAATACTACATCATGTTTTATTACATAAATCATAAACAGACAACTTAGACTCATTCTATTAGGACTAAGAAAAAGATAAAATATAATTAGTTCAATTGGGTTGGTCTAATTAAATTAGTGCAGCTAGGGGAAGAAAGATGTTGGTATAAAAAGGAAAGAGAATTGACAAATAGAAATCAAGAGGTTAATCTAAATAGAGGCTAAACATATGGCATACGGCAGAACCGAAGAAGTACTTATAATTTAAGAGCGAATATCAGATGCAGAATCAGTAAGGAGTTAAAAGCTTTTCCGAAAAATGAAAGTGGATCCCCAAGGAGGGATTGTGATTAAATAGAAAAAGTTGTTTTAGAAAAGGAACTAATTGAGATAGGAGGGATTGAAATTATCTTTAATTGGATTAGCTATGCTCGAGAAAAGGAAGGCAAGGATATTGTTTTGCCTCCAGAGAATGTCTTTCCTAAAGGTCTAAGAAGTTTTTGGAAGAGTATGGATGCAGTAACTACCTCAAACTCTTATTAATTTGAATTGGAAATTTCTTGAGAAATCTAAAGTAATAACAGTAGTAAAATACCTTAGAAAGGTCTCTTCGTTAACGGTACTAAGAAAGATTTAATAAGAAAATAAATCTTTTCTGAATTGATTAACGATAGTCTAGAGGAACTTGAAGTAGAAGCCAGGGGTTTACTCTCCTTGATTTAGTTGTCATACATTGGATCAGACATTGAAATTTCTTTAGGGAACACTTAATCCATAAATTGTCCTATTGAGGTAAGAGGATGGATAGAAAGCGAAGAGATTTTGGAGGAAGATTGTGGATAATGAAAAAATTGTCATATGGAAGAGGATAATCAGTAATTTTGAAGTTTGCCTATTAGATGAAAAGAAGGGACTAGCAAGGATAAGTATTGAAGATATATGACATGCACTTTGTGCTTATACAATTATAATTGAAGCAATATGTTCAAACTCCTGCCCATCAAGTTTGGACCTTGATTTACACAAAAGCCGTCCACAATGACATACTATTATTATTATTAATCGTTATAATCATTTTAATGAATAGTTTGGCTAATTTTAAGTTATTATTAAAAACACGTAATTCAAATGATTTATACAATTTACATTACAATCTTATAAATTATTATACATTAGATTTCTATCTCTACTGAATTTGTGTGAGTATATTGATTAAAATTATTAATTATTCTTTTTTAGATTGGGCGCAAAAAAAAAGTTAATGATTTTTCAGATATTCAAGTATTATATTTTCAAATTGATTGCCTTCACATTAATGAAAATAGTTCAATATATGTTTTATATCCTCCAATCGAATCAATTAAACCCAGTAAGCTAAATCAAAGAATTAATCTTGAATCTGTTGATATAGTCTCTTAATAAAATTCAAAAGAAAATAAGATAGTTACGCATCCTTAAATTTATTATTATAACTCTAAACTTAAACTCTAGTAACCGAATTCAAACCTTTATAAACTAATGTTTAGTTTTTTTATCTGAGAAATGCAAGCTGCTAATAGAATCCTATTTGATGTAGCGTTTCTTCTCACTTAATAAACTTGATTTCTAATAAGAAGAGCAAATTTCTAATTAGCCAAGGGCCAGTAATTATTTCAATCAAATTCATTAGAAATAACGGATTTTGGTTTGGCTCAATAAACTTAAGGCTTGATGATTTTTTATTTTTTCAATTAAAATTAAATAAAGGAATCATGGATAGTCTTTTGAAGACTGGAAACACTGTGATACTTTTTTTGATGAAGGGAAATTTAAGAATTACTTAAAATACAGAAATAATTATGTAAGATGAATAAAAAATGGAAAAATTGTTTGTTTAAAAAGTCTAAAGAAATTTTTGAATTTAAAATAAAATCTTCCTAGTTTTAGATAAATTTAAAACTGCTATGGAGGATTCACTAACTATTTTATCAAAATAATTTTATACCTCATACTTAAATTACTTTAATGATACCAATTTATTATCAATATTAATTGATCCTATTAATTTTACTATGAATTTTGTTTTCCTAAAATTGATAATTCAACCTTATTTTTTAGCTTTAGCTTTCTATTTTTTTAAAATTAGCAAATTAATTAATTTATTTCAATGATAGGTTTCATTATTAATTCATTCCCTAAAGAATCCATACACTATTTATTTAATACTTAGAATATTTTATCCATCTCCTATTTTATTTTAGATTATTTTCTGATGTCTCTATTTCATAAAATTACTTGAAAGGCAATTTTAATGGTTATGATTACTAATACATCTAAATCCTTCATGGTTTTATTGCCAATAATGATTCTTATAAAGAGATTTGATTTAGTAAAATTGACTACAATTTCTTTAGAAGATAGTTTATACTTTCATCTGAATCTGAAATAAGGGAAAGAAAAATATTTAGGGAAGGATGATGATAAATATTATTGCTGTGCTTTGTTAGCATTTGAAATGATAAATCTTTTTCTTATAAACCATATAGAATTAATGAAAATTAAGAGCATCTTAAAAAAACTTTCCATATAATTTAATATTATCCATCACTGATAATGATTCCGTAGCTGTATTTAGAAAATTAGAAATTACTCAAACTCTAAACTAAAAAATCTTACAATAGAACTCATTTTTTATATATTCACTAAAACCTAAATGCAATTAGAATGGATTTGGATTAAGATTTGGATTAATACTTCCTATTTTAATGAAAGCTATTGTTTAATCATGAAAATAATCATCCATGTTTTCAATAACTTTAACTCAATTAAAGTAATGAGTATTAGAATCAGTTTGTACTTCAAAGATGAAAATTTATTTTGATTATAATTAAAAGGTTCCTTCATTCAAAATATTAAATCCTTTCTGTTTTCGTTAATATTTTGTTGATGATTTTCTATTATTACATTTTATTATTTTGAAATTCTTTTCAATAAATGTGCATGTTGGCTCTTTAATTTCATCCAAAACCTATTCAGTATCATTTAAACTTAAGTAATAAATTAAATTCAAATTAATAATTTAACATAATAGGCAATTCTACGACAATTTAATAGTACTTTCAGTTTAATTTAATATCAAATCATCAAAATAAAGACAAAATTACACTTGNTGTTAGTAATAAATATATTGATCTGATTTTTTTTCTAAGATAAATTGCAACCATGAATATTGAACCTTTTTCTTTCTATTACAATCAATTTATAAGGAATTATTTTATCTTCTTTTCTGGTTATTTTTAACTAAACCATGATGAATTGTAATAAAATTATAATAAAAAAAAGATTTCAAATTCTGGAAATATCATAGTTTTTTTAATAAATGCTATTATATCAAAAGTTAAGGATAGAAAAAATGAAAAAGAAGCTATAGTTTTTATGTAAAATAAATTAGAATAAGTATATAATTAATTTTAAGATCATCCTTTTTTTTATGTTAATTTAATATTTTTTATTAAAAGAGTAATAAATCATTCTAAAATTATCAATCTATATTTATGATATGTTAAATTTATGTTTAAGCTTTAATCGAAAACAATAACTTACTAATAATTATCTTATCGTTTAAGTTTTACGTTCTTCCTTTTGCTCATTCAGAATATTAAGATAGATTAATATAGTTTGAATTAACACAACAACTCAATTTAAAATTAATATAAAAATCAATAAATTATACATTGTATGAAGATGGTTAAATTATAATTAAAGGAAATCATAAATGAATAATTTGAAATTATTAAATTATTTCATAATAATCAATTATTCAAAAAAAAAGTATCACAATTGTACTAGGAAAATATTTTTCACTTTTGTGCGTGCAATAACAATATCTAATTAGATTAATTATTTTCTCATTTATTATTTGAATGCTGCTTGAAAGGATACATTATTGAAAAATAATATTTTTGTTTTGAATTGTAGTTATTTTTAAAGAAATTAAAAATTTAACTATTATATGAAATAATTAATCTAATCTTCGAAAGTTTATAATCTTATAAATTATTATATATTAGATTTCTATCACTACTGAATTTGTGATAGTGAGTAAATTGATCAAAATTATTAATTATTCTTTTTTTGATTGTGAGCAAAAAAAAATTAATGATTTTTCAGATATTCAAGTATTATATTTTCAAATTGGTTGCCTTCAAATTAATCAAAATAGTTCAATATATATGTTCTATATCCTCCAATCGAATCAATTAAAGCCAGTAAGCTAAATCAAAGAATTAATTTTGAATTTGTTGATATAGTCTCTAAATAAATTCAAAAGAAAGTGAGATAGTTACACATCCTTAAATTTATAATTATAACTTTAAACTTAAACTCTAATAACCGAATTCTAACCTTTATACACTAATGTTTAGTTTTTTATCTGAGAAATGCAAGCTGCTAATAGAATCCTATTTGATGTAGCAATGTTTTGTTAGTCATTTAAAATGATATAATTGATTTTTCTTATAAGCTTTTTAGAATAATGAAAATTCAGATAAATGGGCATCTTAAAAAACGTTCCAAATAACAATAAAACTCATTTTTTATATACTCACTAAAACCTAAATGCAATTAGAATGGATTTAGATTAATTCTTTCTATTTTAATGAAAACTATTTTTTAATCATTAAAATAATCATCCATGTTTTCAATAACTTTACCTAAATTTAAGTAATGAGTATTAGAATCAGTTTGTACTTTAAAGATGAAAATTAATTTTGATTATACATAAAAAGGTTCCTTCATTCAAAAATATTAAATCCTTTCTGTTTTCGTTAATATTTTGTTGATGATTTTCTATTATTACATTTTATTATTTTGAAATTTTTTAAATTAATGTGAATGTTGACTCTTTAATTTCATCCAAAACCTATTCAGTATCATTTAAATTTAAGTAATAAATTAAATTCAAATTAATAATTTCAAAATATTGACAAAACTACCCTTGATGCTATTTTAGAACTTTAAAATTTATTTAAACCATAAGTTGATTGCAATTTGTGAGGATGGAAAAAATTCATTAGGTTTCTCAAAGTACCATTATTTTGAATAGTAAGATTTTCGAAGTCTATTCTTCTTTATTCCTTGAGTAAATTTAATGTTACCTTTGAGGTAATAAATTTTAATTGATCTAAAAATAGAAAAAATTTGGATCTCTCTCATTAATGATTCATATTAATTAAATAATTATAAGAATTTTGATATTTTTGATGTTTTTGATCAAGTAATTATTGAGAGATCCAACTTCTAATTGACCAAATTACACTCGCCTCGCTTTGGACAAAATATATTATTAATTTAATGACTCTACTCTCCTTAAGTATATTTTTGTATTTATTGAATATCTAATTCTATTAAATGAAAGGATAGAATAAATTAATTGAAATTAATAAAGATTTTTTTAAATTAGTATTTCCAACAGAAATTATTGATTTTCCTAAATGTGTAAAATTGATGAGCTATTGTAAAGCCTCTAGCTTTGGAATAGAAGTAAGATTACCCAGTTCACAGTTGAATGCTATTTATGATTCTCTGTGATGGGAATCATAAAAAAGTCTCAATGATAATTGTCAGTAGTAAGATATTGAAAATTTGTTTAAAATCATAGTTAATTTATGTTGACATAGGAAAGCAATTAGATTGTTAAAATGATTGTTCAGAAATATTGGTTTTAATTCTGATAGAGTGAGATCTTTGTCATATAGAAAAAAAGCCTTATGTGTTTCTAATAAATAAGAATGACTTATCCTGTTAAATGAAAGTTAGCCTTCATTAAGGGCTTAATATCCTATCTTTAAGAGATAAAGAAGTTATTAGAGCAACTTATAGGATAGCTAATTAAAATGAATAATGTATAACTGCAAACCAGATTGCTTTACAAACTAAGCCAGTTTTCCTTACTCATTTAATAAATAACTCTAGAAAATAAAGTAAACCCTTTTAAGTAATGAGTATTGTGGTTAGCCTTTTTTAGGAAATCTCAAAGAATAAACATGTAACTTTTTATAGTTATAATATAGGTTTCACTCCATTTAGTCTTAACCTATTTGATATCTATTTTAATGAGTTTTTCAAATATTATCTGGACAATATCGATTACTTTACAATAGTGAAATATTTAGGAAGTAGTGAAGCATTAGTATATAATTATTAGCAATCTATATTTTGGAAAATTTTATTTTTAGTCTATACTAAGTAATTTTGTAAGTTGTTGGAATTGCATTTAATTGATGACAATAGGAAGACTGATATTAAAGAGAGTCAAAGCAACAGTTTCATCTTGCATTTACATAACAATTTTTAAATGGATAATCCTTATTAAAAAAACTAATAATAAGTCATACTATTTTGACTTATTTAAGTATGTGTATCGTATCTAGTTTGAGAAATTTTAAAGTCGTTTAATTTTTATAATTGAAAATAAATTAGATTTATAAAAATCTCCACCTCACTTTTCAAAATCCCCTATCGTGTAATATGAAGTCTAAATTTATTTTTGTCTTTCTTGATTTCTGAATTTCACTAGTATTAAAGAACTCAAAGGTGGTGTTACATTAAGAATAAAATTATCTAAGTTCAAATTAATTTGTTACTTGATTTTACTAACATTTAATTGGAATTTTAATCGTAAAAAATATTAAGGCTAAATGTTTCTTTTTTCAAAAGTATAAAATGATGAAGAGCTTTGGGTTAGAAATAGGGAAATTGGTTAGAAGAACGTAATTATTAAATTGAAATGGTGTGAAGTGAGATTTGTGGATGCTAATTACAATAATTCTAAATAAGAGGAATTAAAAATGTAAGAGGTCAATATAAACCAGGGTGTATATTGGATGGATATAATAGAAGGAGATCTATATCAATCCATAAGAATGAATTGAATAGATAAATGAAAAGGAAAGAAGAAAGAGGTTTTAATGAAAAGAATGTCTGAGCCAATTTTAGAAAAGGACGCTACATTTATATTTTTGAGAATTCAAGCCAATTGTTATATATAAAATTTAATATCCCTTCAGGTGTAACTTTTAGTTTCATAAATGAGAGTTAAAAATTAATGTTCTTTTTGGTTTTTGAAACAAGCTGGCTCTTGAATATTCCCTTGAATGATTATCTTATTGAAAATATTAAATTCACTATGAAATGGGTGATGTTGGCTATTGGTAAAATATGTAATTAATTAAATATTTATATTAGTAGGCCAATCAAAATCTTTAAACTGAAAGTTTAAACCAAAATCATAAAACTATTTATTCAAATTCCATGTAACTGAAAAAGAATATCTAATTAACTTTCTTTTAAATTAAAAATTATACAGATATTAAATGTAATATTTTTCATAATTGTTAATATGTTCTGATTTGTATTTAATTTGATTGATTATCCCATGTGATCAAATACTCTCCATTATCACTCATTACTCC